CAAATAAAGACAAAAGTATTACAGACTTTTTTGAGCAAGATAAGAAAGGGAATTGGTAACTGAATGGCAAAGAGTAAACAGGACGATTCCACAAATTATGCTGAAGCTGTCACTCTCAATCTTCATTCAAGCCAATGAGTTAGGACTTGCATCAAGAACAGTTTTGGGCCATAGAACGAATTACTCAATCTTTGTAGGATTCACTTCTAGAGCAGTTGTTCAAGAGCTTGCGGAATTTCTTGTAGATTTTAAATAGCAAATATCTTTCTTGGACCCTTCTAAAGAGGTGGCTCCTTAGGGCCCTTTCTTTTAGAGTCTCTTCTTTAGCATGTGGCACATAGGAGATGTTTAATAAACATTTATTGGATAAGGAAGGGAATGAATGAATACAGCTTCTATCCCTGAAGTTTAATCACTAGACAAGTAAAAGGCCAGCAGCTTGTTTTGAAGAAATGCTTTATCTGGTGGTTGGAAAAGAAACCAAATATAATCTGACACATATAGAAATGCACAGAATTCTTTAATTTCCAGAGTTAGGCAACTAAAGCAGTTTTAGAGTTGATACAGGGACAAGCAGGCCTAATGCTTAAATGTATGAGCCACTAAAAACAGCCACCACATTCCTGAATTCTTGTGCTCCTTGGCTAGGGAACCAGCATTCCCAAATCCCCAAAACACATCTCCATCACTGGCCAGGGAGCCAGAGTCTCTGCTATCCATGGTGGTATCATGTCATGCCGAATATTTGATAAATTTGATAAATACCTATTTATCTTTCTAGCTCATTTGGGGCCGCGAGCACAGTGCAGAGAGCAGGCGGCCCACCTGAGGATTAGCAAGAATCCAGCCCTGTCGCCAAATCTCTTAAGGCAGTAATACAGAAGGAAATGGAAGCTCACTTCCATTCATCAGTTAAGAGACACTTCATTTGTAGAAAGTGAGAGGAAAATGCCAACAACAACAAAACTCTTCTTGGAGTGTGAAGTGGTGCAGACCCCAGGGTTGTGGGAAGCATGCTAGTCTAGAACCCCAGGCTCCTCAAATCTGCCCCTGTGGGCAGGAGAGAACCTGCATTGCTGGACAGTGTGTTCAAGTCACCAGCTGGGAGCAGGATGCTGTAGAGTGTTGGGGTCTACCTTCCCCTCTGCCATTTCTATGGCAACAAAGATTGACAGCCATGCTTTACTTGAGTTCTCAATGGCTGAATATCCTGTAGTGAGATAAGCAGCAGATTCAGGCAGTTAGGCCAGCAGATTTTCATGAGAGGAAAGGATTTTTTTCCATCTCAATTGGTGTTTATGCCTAGTCATTTTAACTAAGTTAAATCCTGGCAAGGTGATGGGGATACACAGTTGAATGATTTACATGTGACTTGGGAAAGGACATGATTGCAAATCTATTTCTGATCTTTAGTTACAAAATAAACTTCATTTCTTTTACTCCCTTCACCCAAAGGTACTCTGGTCTGAGCAATTACACAAATTTTCAAAGTGGCGATAGGGAGTCTGGATGATTAAAATCCTTCCCTTTGGAATTCTCTTCAGACTCTGCTCAGATCCTGCAAGCCTTCCCAGCCTCCTTCTGTATGAGCCTCTCTTCTTCCATTTGCCCTGTGGTCTCTACCATTGTCATGTTAGGACTTTTTGTTCTGTTTCCTATTTGGACAATGAATTTCTGTCAATGCTAATGAGAAACTTCGGCTTTAATGGTATAGAAGCATGATTCTTATGCCTCTTGGTTAGGGTTTTATTTAATTCTGTCAACTAAAGTGCATTGGAAGTACAGTCTGGCTTCTTAGTTAGGTCAAGTGCATGAAATTAATCAAATACCAAAGAACAGGTTGATGCCCAGACACAGCAGGAATGCTTCTGACAATTGAAAAGAGAAAAAACCCATTCAGAGGGATGATTTATCAAGGGAACATAATGGAGAATGGAGGTGGGGGAAGGGAAGATTGAGTTTCAAAGATGTCCTTTATACTACAAGAGAATGTGAGTGATAAAGTTTTTGTCTTGTTTTCTGTTTTTGTTTTGTTTTTGTTTTTTGTTTGAAGAGCCAGGACTTCTTCCTGTGGATCATATCTCTGAGTGTCATGGAAACCTCTTGTATAAAGCTGTAAGTAATGTCCTCAGGATAGAGGACCAAAACTGAGAATATCCAAGCACAGGAGAGTTGTAGGTGACTTTCAGAGTCGCCTGATTGTTGGCTCTCTGTTTCTTTAAAAAGGAAACTATTCTGTGGTTATTTTCATGGAGAGAAAATTGGGGAAAAAATTATGCTTACAACCCTCAGAATTCTAAGTCCTATGAAGGCAAAGAAAATGTCTGTTCAGTTTGGAATTAGATCCTCAGGGCCTAGTATAATGCCTGACCCATAGCACGTCCTCAGTGTATATTTGTTAAAAATAATTTCTGAATCAGTAGGTTTCATAAAACTGTAAGCACTTCCAGATTAAAGACACCGCAACAGAATTTTTATTGCTAGTTACTAAGAGATATTTGATAGATTTAGTCCTATACGGTGACTACATGTAGTATCCACATTGTTTTTAGTATATGTTCTTAAGAATTTATTATAAGAATACCAGGAAAACCTAACCAACAGCTACTTTTGCCATTTCAAAAAATTCTCTTTATTGCAAAACCTACAGAAGTAGTAGCAAAGTAATATGTCTTTGAAATGAAAATTTGATCAACTCCTACCTATAATAATTTTAAGGATCAATCTGTAAAATCTAGCTATATGAATTAAAGAGAGTTTGGATATTGATCAAAAAGTACATGGTAAAAGCCACTAGTATTTGCATTCAGATTTATAATACCTTCATGGAGTGTGTGTTGAGACCAAGAATAATCCTTTTTATTTCTAATAGATCAGCACTCCATTGTGCGAAGTGCGAACATTGTCTTTCTAGCAAGAGTTTATTAGTAGGTCTTGATTTTGAGTCATTCCCTGAGAACATTTGGATGGCAGTTCTTTCTTACATATTTACTGAATGACTGAATGAATGAGTGAATATTAAACAAGTCAACAAATCGGAGAATGCACTGATTGGCTGGCTCCTCAATGCTCTCAGAAGGCAAAGAGCTTTTTAAACCAAATTTATATATTTAATATAAATGACAAGAAAAAAACTGCCTCCTCCTCTCATGTTTCAGTTATTTCTAAGTGTAAGGCTAGTCACTTCTGTTAATTATCAGTAGCATGAAGTACCAAGAAATAGTAATATTAAGCACTGAAGACAACCTGAATATGTTTAGCAGAGTCATTCCTAGAAGGAAAATTAAAGTGCCACACCAAGCCTCAAATGAAATCCATAAGCCTTGGCCAATACTTTTGCTCACTTTTGCTCAGAACTCTATTATTAATGCCATTGCAATTATAATTGTGGGCCCACTTGCTGGGGCAGGTGTTTGCAAAAAGGGTTGACCTTCTGGGGTGCAATATGCTAATAAGAGAACATCTCAGCTTTCTGGATATAAAGCTGCAGTGCAAAAATAGTATATAAAGGACAGAGTTTTCTTTCAAAAGGAAGATAAACCAGCTCAAAACGATGCCCAGGCACACAGAGGAACAATGCGGCCTGCTGATGGTGCCAGGGTGATTCTTAACGGTACCTCCAGGATTGCCCAGTGTCCCTGCTGGGGTTCAAATTCAGATTCAGGTGGTAAAAGTGGTATTCAGCAATGATTAGTGCTCAGACAAGCTATGCATGAACCATTATTAAATTTGCACATTCTTGGAAGAGAGGTAGCCACATGCACAATAGGCAAAAGAAAGTGAACATAACATTATTAAGCTCTCAAGTCAGGTTTTTATATTATAATTCATTTCTATCACTGGCAATTACTGAGAAATTTACTTTAAAAATATTTCCCTTTGAATTAGTTTTCTTTTGAGCAAAGGTCAGAAATCAGTCACTTTAGACTTTTTTTTTTTTGTTATAAGATAGTTTGGTGATATGGAGTATTGCTTTCTCGATGCTTACATTTCTAAACACCCTTTTTTACCTGTGACTCCAAGTCGAACTTGTATTGGAAAATGGGGGATATGCAGGGCTTTTGACTTTCTGACTAGAAATAGCCTCAAAAGTATATTCTACAGGGCTGGAACCCATGGCCATGATCTTTTCCCATAAAGCCCCACCAATAGGGGAAGCTAGTGTTTATTTAGAAATGGCAGTGACATGCATTCTGATAAAGGCATAGGATTTGGTGCCTAGAATTCTTTATAGTTCCCACTATTGGGATTTGTAGGGCCCTTGACCTACCCTCTCCACCCTCCCCAATACTACCCCTGCCAAAGCCAGCTCTGAACACTTTCATTAGTCTGGGATTGACAATCAAAACTCAAAGCCAGTTTCCTTTGAGCACATAGGCAAGGCAAGAATGGCTTTCCCAAGCAATGGCTGGGGAAACAAATGCTTGGGATATTCGAATGATTTCTGTTTTTTCATAATTTATTTGTTTCTCTTACCACCCTGGTCCGGACTTGCTCATCCCCAGCATTTCTACTTTCCTGTAATGGACAATCATAAATTTCCAGAGAAGTAAGGGTTTGTGGATCTGCAGCACAGTGACATTGTTCAAGATATTTGGAGACGGTGCCAAATGCATAACAAAACATGGTTTATGGCCTTCATTTGGCATTGATTTGTGCTAGAAAATTCAGAGTATCATTTCCTCCAGAAGGTTTTGCATTTTTGATGAGAGAAGATATTTTCAACAACAGAGTTCTTGAAGAACTTTACAATATTTAATTTTGGAAATCCCTCAAAATAAAGCAGTTTTAAATTTCTTGTCATCTTAAATTGATGCTTTTTGTAAAAAAAAAAAATGTTGCTTTTAAATGGAGCCTTCCAAGTGATCTTTCCAAGGAGCACTCCTTTACAAGCAGTCACCTGTGTATCCTGGGGGACACAAACCAACTTGAAGCCCTGGCCGTGTTGTTACAAATGTATACTTTACAAGAGACTGATAGCAAGAAACAACATTACTTACTGGTATGTACCCTGCACCTGGGACCAAGTCAGAATTCTTCCAGTGGCCTTGGAGTCTCTGGAGAGATGAATGATCCAGATTTCCAACAAAGATAGCTTTCACCAAGGAAGAACTCAAGTGTGAGCTGATCAGAAGACTCATCATGTCCAATAGCGAGGTGGTATAATGTTTTGAGAAACCTATTGCAAATGAATTAGAAGGAAAAATAAATTAAAAAACAAGTCAGGTTCTCAGATAAGAATAGAAAGGCCTGTTACCCACCAGAATAGAAAGGGTGAAACAAAGGGAAAACCAGAGGGCCTCACAACTCCCAGAAGGTCACATGTCCTCCACAGTGTTGATGTCTCTCACTCAGATCCTTCCTTTGTTAGGAAAAACAAAAAAAGCTGAAGAATAAAACTATTAGGTAGGGCCAGCACAAATATTAGTCAACTTTGAAAGAAAAAGCATTGTTATGGGTGATGTGAGGCCCAGTCTGTCACTGGTTTGTCTGCAGGCTCCATAAACCACAGATTCCTAGCCAAACCCCCAGAGTTTCTCATTAGGTATGTTTAGGGTGGGGACGGGTTCCAGAGTTAGCAATTCTGACAGATTCCCAGGTGATACGATGCTGCTTGTGTGGGACCAACTTTGAGAACCGTTGTTCTAGCATGATTCATTAGCTTTGGGATCCAAGGAAATGGAAGCACATGACTTTAAGGTAATCTTACGATAGTTTGGATTTATTCTCATGCAGGCATCTGCCCATGCAAACTACAATAGGGGAAGCATTTATCTGGATAATTCAGGCTACAGACGTCATTAAAATATTAGAATGTTTTAGGTATAGGAATTTTTTTCCCCCAGGAGAGTAGAAGGGGAATGTTTCTAAATCATCCTATGATTGCTTTATTGCCCTTTTTCATTTTGCATAGGGATAACAAGGTACTATTTGTCCTAAGAAGCATCTATTGACCTGTTCTCTAATAATGACTTTACTCTGGTTTCCTGTTTGTACATGGCTGGGAAAAAACCATGTTAGGAAATGGAGAGTGTGAATGAGCATGGGGTCTTCTAGAGAAATAGGTTCCAAGATATGTCCTTTTCATATCTCTGGTGTCTGTGGGAAAGGTCACAGGCAGTCTGATGATAAGTTTATGATGCATTATTACATCAAGCCTGAATGAACCAAAGAAGTGCCTTCTCTTTGTCTTCAGGCCAGTCTCTATTTAGGAAGTCCCTAGAAAATGCCATGGAAGAGCCTCAGAATCTCCGGGGGTAATGCTGGAGCAAGTGATAAGTATTTTATCCCACAAAACTGCACAATGACAAGGAATAAAAATAATCTTAGTGTTAACTTAAACCAACTCTCGTTTAATGCCAGTTTAGAGTTCTTAACTCCTAATCTATTTTGCCTGCATTTCCAACCTTTGTTTTGTAGGCCTACCTAAGTCTTTCCTTTTGGACATTGCTTTTGTCTAGTTATAATACCAATGAGATTATAATTGAGCGACCCTGAAATTCTAGAACGTATAATAATTCTTTAAAATCAGCTGCTCATCAGCAAAATAAAAACCCTTTTGAATGATCTTTAAAATTCACAACCAGGGGCACGTGGGTGGCTCAATTGGTTAAGTGGCTGCCTTCAGCTCAGGTTATGATCTCAGGGTCCTGGGATCCATCCCCTCATAGGACTCTGTGTTCAGCAGGGAGTCTGCTTCTCCCTCTCCCTTTGCTCCTCTCCCCCCCACCCTTGCTCTCTCTCTCTCTCTCAAAAAAGGTCTTTTAAAAAATAAAAATAAAAAATAAAATTCACAACCAAATATAACAGTGTGGGTCTCCTGTTGGTGGCAATGGTCAGCTTTTAGAGTCATATCTTACATCTCCTAAAACAGACTTCCAAAGCAGGACTTCAGGTGGGGTGTCAGGCATTCAGTTTAATCCCATGGAAGGCCACCTTTATTGTGGGCAAGAGGCCACTCTGCAGTGCTCATTATGATTCTGATTCTTTTTGAGTCGAGTTTCTGACACTTCCAGCTAAGAGACTATGATCACAGGACCCTTTTGCATTGTAAGGATGGGAGAGAAAGCCCACTATTACTGAGACTTCTCCAAACAGAAGTAACACCCAGTCAGAATGAAGGCTTTGGATCCAACCAATTCTGACCTAACTTGTCCTCTCTACATTTTTAGATAAGTTTAATGAACTTCACCATTCTGAGGTTTAGACATACCCCACCTCACCCTTGGGTCTCTCCCTATGAGTATGACTCAGTAAGAAAGCACTGTTCTCTTTTGCGTTATTTTGCTGCTGGGAAACTCAGGTCTTGGGGCCACTTGGGAATCCACACTAAGAAGCAGAAGTTCTCCTTTGCCTGTGGGAAATCCAGATGAATGGATAATCAGAAGCAACCAGAAGATACATATGGAAAAATCTCCAGAGGTAGAGTCCTGTAAATTCAGAAAGTAGGAAAAGTTTGCCATCAGCACATGCCCAGTTTCCCTTTTGGTGCACTCCTCTGTCTTCAAAATGTGCCTAATGTCCTCGAACTGTGTTCTGGTCTCCAGTAGGCTTATGGGTCTACTTAAGGTGTAGGGAGTGTCTAAGTCAGAATCTAGCTCTCAAACCATCCTCTGCTTCAGACCTTTCTGTCACCTTGGTGTATGGAGACCATATGATCCAAGCAACAAATAGGTTTGCCTAGAGTCGCAAGTAAAAGTGTGCTAAAGAGGACAAAAGGGCAAAGTATATAAAATTGAAATGATCCCAGAGAATCACACTGGAAGATATGCTCTATGAGGGGAAGGATCTTGTCTGTTCGGTTCACCATAATCCCCAACACCTGCCTGGTATGTAAGCATAGTAGGTGCCTCGCAAATATTTGTAGACTCAATGAATGAACACATAGTCAAGATGTATGGTCCAGTATCAATGCCATTCAGCTAGGTACCTGCTCTTATCCAGCAGGCTTTTAGTTAGCAAAGCGTAGATCACCTAATGCAGACTTGATTTTAGTGACTGATAGGAACTGAGGTTCCTCAGACCAGACCAGGAGGAACTCAAGCCATTGATGGAGAAAGGGAGGACTTAGGGCTTAAAGAAAAGAAAATACATGTTTATCGAATGCTTGTGCTTTACTCACATTATTACTTTTGCTTGGTGCAGTAGCTCTGAAAAGTAAGTCTTATTAGTCTGTGTGTTTTATTAATGAGGAAACTGAGATCAGATAGGCATGCCAGTAAGAAGCTGAACTAGGATTTACTTCTACCCAGATCTTTTCCACCCACAGCTCATCCTGATTAGATAAATTGGTGATGGAAGGAGAGTGGTAGGGGCTCTTTCTCCAAAAATTTGACTAGGTCATAGAATGGATTTATTTATTTATTTTTAAGAGAGAGAGAGAAAGCATACATGCATGAGCATGCATGAGCAGGAGAGGCAGAGGGAGAGAGAATATCAAGCTGACTCTGCACTAAGCGTGGAGCCAAACGTAGGGCTTGATCACTCAACCCTGAGATCAGGAACTGAGCCGAAATCAAGAGTCAGACACTCAACCAACTGAGCCACCCAAGTGCCCCAGAACAAGATTCTTTTAAATGAGAGTAGATATGGGAAGACATTTATCAGTATTTCTGGGATAAGCAGGTGTGGCCAACATTCGCCTGCAACCCTCTTCCTCCTTTTGTTCTTCCATGAATACCTGTCCATATTTCCCTGCCAAGATGAGATGCTTTTACTCTTTTTACTTCTTGCCCCTGCACAAGGTACATTATATTTGACTCTGTTGTCAACTGTGTCATAGGTAACTGATGTATGTTAAATATTACATATATAAACTGTGCTAACATCGGCTGCCAAAAGTAATGATATTTTGTGACAGTTACTGATAAAACAAGACAGACTGTTTCTTCATTCATCTGGCACTTGACAGAAACAACAACCATTGGCTTTGAATGACGAGGCCTAAGCTCTGGAGCTGGGCTTTGCTTTTACAATAGCTGTGCGAGCACAATCATTGCAAGTACTGTGACAAAGGTAAAGGAGGTGTATAGGAAAGCCCCACACAGATTTCCCTTGAAAAGAAACCCTGCTGCAAGTAGCACAGTGAACTTTGCAAAGGGATTCCCAAACAGACAACTTTGCCATGTCTTCTCCCATGAGATTTGAAGCTTCTTCTATTTCCTGCCCATTCATAGCTAAGATAGCGGGAGGAGGAAAGCCAGTGTTCTGTTAAATGGTGGATTTTGGTTTGGAATAATCTGGCTTAGTCACTTCATTAGGGAATATCCAACTGTCAGAATTTTAGAGTCTTTCCTCTTGGGATGGTGTCTTAGTACATTCACAGTAATGTAGGTTCTTTCTAGCATGCACCTCAAAATTCTTCCAGCCTCTACCCATTACCCACTTTAAAAGCCACTTTATGTTTTTAGGAATTTGTTATAATAGCACCCTACTTCTCAGTACCAATTTCTGTCTTAGTCTATTCGGGCTGCTACAACAAAAATACCATAGACCAGGTGGTTTATAAACAACAAAAATTTATTTCTCACAGTTCTGGAGGCTAGGAGGTCCAAGATCAAGGTGCTGGCAGATTGTTTGGGAACAGCCCACTTCAAAAATGGCTGTCTTCTCATTGTGTTTTCACATGGTGGAAGGGGTGAGGGAGCTCTGGGGTTTCTCTAATAAGAGCACTAATCCCATTTGTGAGGACTCTGCCCTTATAACCTAATCACCCCCAAATGCCCTACCTGCAAATACCATCTCACTGGGTTTAGGATTTAAACATATGAATTATGGAGGGACACATTTAGTCTGTGGCAGATGGTCTGTTTTCCCAAAGATGAATCTCATCTTTTTATTGGGGTATATAAGCCTGGCTTTCAAGGTTCTGAGAGACACATGGAGAGAGGGTCTATGTTTGAGTATGTGGAGGTGGGGGAAATTTTTCACCATTCAGTAGTTAGACTTTCACTTCATGCCCCTATTTTCGGTATGGCACAGCCTCCCTCAGCTTTGTCTGCCATTCCTGAATCTGCATCTCTCTGGTCTGTTTTCTTGGCAGTGTAAAGAAAGTTCTCTGTTCTAGTTTTCTGTTCAGATGGGAGAGACTGCTTGGCAAAGAATGGGAGAAGGAGATCTGTGAGTCTGACTTTTCATACAACCTTTCAGTGAATTCTCTTTTCAAATCTGTCTTCCACTTCCAATTTCAGAGACACTGGTACGTCTCATTTCTTCTAAAATTTTGTTGCAGCTGTCTCCCCTCTGTTCTCTTTGCCTTGATTTATGCCTCCCCCTTCGCCATTTTATTTTGATGAGGTTTGAGGTAGAACAGGAGGTAAATGCATGTATTCAGTCTTTCATGTTTAACTGGAAGACTCCTCCCATGAGCTCTGGAGGATCTGCTTGGCAGCAGTTACTCCTATTGGGTGGGTGAGTGGGTGAGGGTTGG